TTCCACCTCCCAAGTGCTGGGATTATAGGTGTGAGCCACTGCACCCAGCCTTAGTTTTTCTATTTAGTAGAGACGGGGTCTTGCTTTGCTCAGGCTGGTCTTGAACTCCTGAGCTCAGGCAATCCACCCACCTCGGCCTCCCAGAGTGCTGGGATTACAGGAGTGAGTCAGCTCTCCTGGCCAGTAATCTGCATTTTTGATAAACACTCTGGTGTGATTCTTAAGTTTGAGAACCAAGAAAGCAGTGTTTCTGTCTTGGCAGTGGATAGAATCTCCTGAGAACCCTTAAACCGAACTAGAATTTGAACACAGCTTCAGACCAACTGAGTCAATTAGGAAGGAACCTGGGTATTGGGGGTTTAAGTTTCCTTCTTGATGTAATTTGCTGCTAAGATTTCGAATCCATTGCCTGTGCTCTGAAAGTGAGAGAGAGAACCCTGTCCCAACTGGCAGGATGGGCAAGTTTCTTTTTTCCCTCAGGGGGTTGATGAAATACCTAATCTTTACCCAGATTTCTCTCAACAACATATTTGCCTATCTATCCGTTAATTCACCATCTTGCCCTGGGTGTTGTCCTACCTCATTTACATTGCTATGCAGGAATACATGAGGCTGGGCAATTGAAGAATAGGTTTATTTGGCTCACAGTTCTGCAGGATGCCCAAGAATCATGGCATTGGCATCTGCTTCTGGTGAGGACTGCAGGAAGCTTACGTTCATGGTGGAAGGTGAGGAGGAGGGGTGAGAGTAGAGGGGGTGCCAGGCTCTTTTCAACAGAATGGCACCAAGCCATTCTCGAGGGATCCACCCTCATGATCCAAACACCTCCTGCCAGGCCGCACCTCCAATATTGGGAATAAAATTTCAGCATGAGATTTGAAGGGGCCAAATATCCTAATAACATCAGATTTCTAAGAGGCATCTGAAGACCTCACCTTGATCTCCACCTCTCCAACATATACTTCCCCATCTTGGAAACGGTGACTCCATTCTTCAGTTCTTTGGTGTACCCTTGGGAGTCCTTCACATTCCACATGTAATTGGTGAGTGCTGTCAGCCCTGCCTCTGAAACAGTGCCACCATCGCCCATTTCTAACCACCTCCGTCTCTACCGTGCTAGCCCAAGCCAGCATCACTATTGCCACAGCCTTCTCACTGGTCTTCCTCCTTCTGCCTCTGCGCTTATGACATCTACACGGCACATAGCCAGAGTGGTCCTTTAAAACATTTTTTATTGTGGTAAAACATATAATATGAAATGCCATTTTAAAGTACATAATTCATTGGCACTAAGTACATTCACAATGTTGTATAAGCACCACCACTGAACTTTAATTTCCAGAATGTTTTCCTTATCTCAGAGTAATCTTTTTAAAACATAGGTCAAAGCGTGTCACCGCTTGGCCCCCTAAACATCCAGTGGCTTCCCATCTTGCTTAGCAAAGGAGCAAGTCCTTCCTGAGGCCCAGGAACAGAACCTCTTCTGCTGTCCTCTCTCAACAGTCTCTTGACTCATTTCACTTGGTCAGGCTTCCCTGCTGTCCTTTCAACAGGTAATTCTTCTCCTGCTTCAGGATCTTTGTGCATGGTTTTCCCTTTGCTGGAATGGCTCCCCCAGATAACCATGCTGTGTCCTTAGCTTATGCAGCTCTCTGCTCAGATACCGCCTTCTCAGGGTGCCAGCTGAAATAGCATTACTCTCCATCCCTGTTTTGTTCTTCAAAGCACTTATCACCACCTGACAGGCAAGTACATCTTCCCCCACTGAAGTGTATGAGAGCCATGAGATCAAGGATTATACCTGTTTTGGTAACTGCACTATCCTCTAAAATAGTGCCTAGCCCACAGTGGGTACACCATGAGTATTTGCTGAATGAAGAAACTATCTTGGCTCATGATAGGTATCAAATATTGATCCAAAGTGAATGCATTGAAAACTGTAAAAACTAGTTTTATTAAGATCTAATTCATACAGCATAATATTTACCCCTGGACACTAATTTTTATGTTGTTGTTAAGGCAGGTATTTGGAAGCAGGTGAAAGCTATTGATGTAAGCAGCCTGGAGGGATTCTTTCTAGAATTCAACCATTCACTGAAAAGATCAACATTTGTTGGCACCAGACCTGAAAAGATCAACATTTGTTGGCACCAGAAGAGCCTTTTGACCTAACTCTGTCTGTGCACACGTGCTGTGTGTGGTGACAGTCCACAACATCATGAGAGCTGTGCTGGTACATTTGCTTAACATCTCTCCTCTTGGTGGGACTAAGACACATTCACATGCTTCTAAACTGTGTGGTGCTTTTTCTACAACACTGTATTTGGAGACTATTAATTTTAATCATGTCTAAATAACATGATTGCTTTATTTTGCCAGTGGATAAAAAGCATTACCGTGTTTGGGTACTAGGAAGCATGGAGGTACGAGGAGGTACTTTATCACTGAAGTGTCTACTAGATATTTACCTTCTCCTTTAGTATCTCTACTCCTCTCCCCGTAGGGAAGGCAATTAAAACAAATGCTGCAGTAACAGCTGCACGGTACAATAGCCAGGGTGGATCTAAACCCATTGCTGGAGGCCTGGTGTGGTAGAAAAGTCTGTAATCCTAGCACTCTGGGAGGCCCAGGCGGGTGGATCTCCTGAGTTTATGAGTTATGAGGCCAGGCTGAGCAAGAGCGAGACCCCATCTCTAAAAAACAGTTGGGTGTTGTGGTGGGTGCCAGTAGCTACTTGGAAGGCCAAGGCCAAGAGGGCGACAAAGTGACACTCTGTCTCAAAAAAAAAAAAAAAAAAAAAAACCCCAAAAAACATTGCTGGGCTCATGGGCTCAGCTGGGGTGGAGGTGCTTCCTACACAATTTTTTCTACCTCCACTCAAGGGAGAGGAGGTGAAGAAACAGAGGAAGAGAAGAAGAAAACCTTTCACATGAACCCATCTCCTTTTAAAAATAAAATTAGGAAGCAAGACAAACCCCACTACCTCCTGTGACCGCAATTTAATATTGTGGATTCCAGTGTACTAATTCAGTCCTAACTAATTAGTTCTCTCTACCATGGCTTCCAACAAAACTCTCTGAAAGTTGGCTATTATAGTTACTCATAGAAACCTTGATTTCATGAGGTATTTTTCAGAGAGTATGATTTAGTTGTTTCCTTCAAATCATAGCAAATTATCTTTCAGGTAAGTTGAAAAAATAAATCAGCAGAAGAATGTTTCCAGCAGTCCAGAAAATGATTAAGGTCTATTAGTAGTTGTATCTGTGCTAACACACACACAAAAGTCCTTGTTCACACTCCCTACTGTACAATCCTTTTAGGAAATTTCTGCTAATGATTCAGTCATTGTACGCTAGAAAAGCAAATTGTATTTATTAGTCCAAGTAAAGTACGAGTAAGAAGACAGTATAAATTAGATTGTTGTATCTCTCTCTTTATTCCTGTTTCTCTGGTGGGATGGAGAATAGATAGGTATAGCAGAATTAAAACTCCTACTTTTTCCTGTTCATTAAAGACCTATTTCAAAATTTTAAGGATGACAACTTAATGATAAATTATGGAGAATTAGAGCTCACACTCTTCTGATTTTTTTCTTTGGTTCATTACAGAACTGGTTGAAGGTCACAGTCTTCATTTGGTATCCACTTGCAGAGAGTATACTTACCTCCAGCTTCACAGGACCATGCACTGCACAGCCCCCATAGAATCCATGTGAATGGTGGCCCTTTGGGTTGTCACTGGGGCAACCTACATGCAGAATTTAAATGTGTATCCAAGGCAAACACTTTCATTAATTAGAAACTAGAAATAAAATCCATGGTCAACATGTATTTTGTCTTTTTTTTTTTTTTTGTCTAAAGGAAGTTCTGACAGAATCTCAGTCAAGATTACATCACAAAAACTTTAAATGTATTTACAGAGTGAATAAGTTACATAGATAAACTTTGAATATGTTTTCTGATGTGCAACAAGTTCACATGCATCCATCTAACACTTGACAGCATTAAGTTTAAGGAGGGAACTTAAGAATGGCCTTTTACATATATATTACAAACAAAATGTGACATTTCTTAAGAAAGCGACAACTCGTGTTTTACCTTTATGATTCTACTTCTGGCTATCCAAATGGATATTAAAATACGCATGCGTGACGGGTGAAGAGATTTGGAATTTATATTGTGAATAATTTTTCTCTACAAAATGGCCAAGTTAATTAAAATTAACACTCATCCTTCTGTAGTATAAATATGCTCAAAAAAGCAACTTTCTAGTAAAAAGCAGCCAAGATCCTTAAAAAGAGTCTATCTGGACCACTTTTGGTGCAAAGAGATCCAGGGCCTTCAGAAACAGTAGCCTAGCAACATAAGGAAAGTACTTTATAGCAGCTCCTTTTAGATACAGTAATTGTATTCAAATTACAGTGTACATTAAATTGTAGTCCATTTACAATTCCCTTTTCACACACACAGGCCGTCAGCTTTTGACCATCTAACAATTTTCAGTGGCCAGCTTCATTCTGCCTGCCTCTCTCTGCCCTCTGAAGAAAGGGAAAAGGAAAAAGAAAACAAAAAAAGGAAGAAAAGGGACAGAATGTACAAGTTTTAGAATATAAAATTTTCTTTTAGTGAAGAAAACATTGCACTTTTGCCAATCTAAAATTGTTTCTAGAAAGGAAGGTACTATTCAGTGTAGTCGGCTTTGGTATGCAATGGAAGTCACTTCTTCAGTAGTGAGTTGCATATGCTGAATAAAAATGATAACACGCTTGTGCCACACGGCGTGATGGATGGAAGCTGTCCCGGGGTGTTCTAAGCTACCTTGGTTCTCATAGTATTGCTACACGTTGAAAGTTCCGCCATCCTCTTTAGAAAAAGCCCTACAGGTAACAAGAGGGAGAACAGTCTGTCCAAGCCTTTTGAAGGCTGAGAAGACACTGAATGATGTCGCCCCAGCATGGCAGCAGTACCAGCTTGGAACCCATGGGGCATGGGAGGCTCCTGTCAGAGACTAGTGCCAGAAACGCTGGAGTCTGGAAGGAAGGCAGTGAGGACTCGGTAACTCTGGGCCCTGCGGATCATGTCCCGGATCTCCATATTCAGCTCCATCAGCTTGGTGCAGATCTCAGTGAGGCTCTGATTGGACCCCACCAATGCATAAGTACCCGTCTGTCCCAGAGTTTGGTGACGGAAATAAATATTCAGTAGTGTCTGGACTTCATCATCAGAACTGCTTCCAAAGATGTCATTGGGCCACAGACTTCTGCAGTCAAAAAGAATAGCACAGATGAGAGGCACTGTTGGTCATAAAGTTGGGACGTTATAAGTCTTCATTAGTATAAGAATATTAGTTTATTTTGAGACAGAGTCTCACTCTATCACCCTGGGTAGAGTGCTATGGCATCATAGTTCACAGCAACCTCAAACTCTTGGGCTCAAGATCCTCTTGCCTCAACTTCCCGAGTAGCTGGGACTACAGGTGTCCATCATGATGCCTTGCTAGTATTACAGATGGGGTCTCACTCTTGCTCAGGTTGGTCTGGAATTCCTGAGCTCAAGCAGTCCACCTGCCTCAGACTTCCAGAGTGCTAGGATTATAGGCATGAGCCACTACTAATGGCCAAGACCATTAGTTTATTTTTTAAAAAAGGCTTTATTGAGAGATAATTCTCATGCCATATAATTCACCTAAAGCATGCAATTGAGTGTGTTTTAGTATATTCAGAGTTGTGCAAACATCACATAATTTTAGAGTATTAGATATTGTTTTTAATGAAACGCCCAAAGTCTAAAAATATCAGAATGGAATCTGATACTCTTAAACATTTATCCTATTTGCTACAGCATCTTGGTTCCAATAAATGTGAATACAGTATCAAAACAGAGGGGCAAAAAACAAAGATATGTTTAAATGTTAGTTAAAAATTATATAAAGGTATACTTTCAAGGGCTTCAGTATTTTGTCACTTTAGGGATGACAAATGACCAGAACCAACACCAATATTCTATTGTTTTGACTCAGGGTCTCATTGTATCAGCCAGGCTGGTTTTATACTCCTGGCCTCAAGCGATTCTCCTGCCTCAGCCCCTCTAGTAGCTGGGATTACAGGTTCGAGCTTCCACACCTTGCATCACCGACACTTTAAGTGTGTAAGTTCAGAAATCCGAGCGTTTCTGACAGGATGCCAGGAAAGATCTGAGAAGAGACATATAAAGTATCTAAGCACACCTCTTATAGTGAGCTAGTCCCTGATCTTGACAAAGGAACATTTTCTCTAACCACCTGTAAAAGAAATGGCAGAGTCACCTGCACTCCCTGATTTGCCGCAAAGCTTTGCCCAGTTCGTTGTTCTTCAAGCACTCCAGCATGGACTGGATGGCTGCTTCCGTGGACGTGAAGGATGGCTCAGACCACGCACCCTCTGCATAAAGAGGGTCTGCGGCGATGGCTGCTGTGGCTTCCTTCAGGTGTTTCTTCAGGTCACTCAGTTCCCTGGACATGTTCAGCAGCTGTTAAAAAAAATTTTTTTTTAAAATACTATGTTTAGGTAAAGAAGGAATTTTACATTCCAAAAGGAAAAAAATTTGATCATATGGGTTTGATTAAGCACAAGCTTAATTTAAATACATCAGTAAATACAAACAGGACAGGTGACATTGTACTCAATGGTGTGTGTCAGGGATGGAGGGTTATATGGATGCATTGCATCGAGTATCTCTGGGCCGTCAGATGGGATGCTCTCCTTATATTAAAAAGTAAGGCTTCATTTCAAATGCAGAGGGAAAATGTGTAAGAGAATGGGCTCAAAAGTGGAGTAGATCTGGGTTCCAATGCTGGTGCTGCAGTGTGTACTATGGGACCATAGATGTGTTAATGGACTTTCATGCTTTAGTCTTCTCATCTGTGAGACTGAAGATACTACCTACCTCACCTCACAGACTAACCTCAAAGATTAAATGAAATAATGTATATAAAGGCATAGGAGAGTTTTATATATGTGTATAAACGCTTAATAAATGTAATCCTGAACATGAACTCTGTTTTAACAGTAAGTTTTTCTCACTGTTGGTTCTATGCCATGGCAAAAGACTGAAGACAATTTTGAGAAGGAGGAATAGTAAATAAAATATTAGTTAAGGCTACAGGGGTAAAAGATGTTTTCCCTGAAGGTTACTATACTCAAAAGATCTAGAGTGTTAAAAAAAAAAAATTAGAGAAACCCTGTATCACTTTTAAGCGCCCCAAAATGTACCATGGAAGATAGCTGTTCTGCAATTTGACCTCAAGAGCATTTTATTTTTTATTTATGAGACAGAGTCTCATTCTGTTGCCCTGGGTGGGGTGTGTTAGCAGGCATGAAATCCCACATCAATCTCCTTGTACATCTCCGTCAGAGCTTTGGGGTCTAGGTGTGTTGTTAGTGAGCAGTAATATTTTGAAAGAAACCTTTTTTCTGAGCACTATATCTCAGAGTGGGCTTCAAATATTCAGTAAACCACACTGTAAATAGATGGGCCATCTTCAAGGCTTTGAACCTTCATTTATAGATTGGTAGGTAGATTTAGCATAATTCCTAAGGGCCCTAGGAATTTTCAAATGCTAAGTGAGCACTGACTTCAACTTCCAGTCACCACCTTCTTGGCCCCCTAGTAAGAGAGTCAGATTGTCCTTTGAAGCTTTTTACTTTTGGCCTTTGAAACTTTGAAGAAAGGCATTGACTTCTCTCTTGCTAAGTCCTACAAGGCATCTTCCAGTAGAACGTTTCATCCACACTGAAAATCTGTCGTTTAGGTAGCCCCCTTCATCACCGATCTTAGCTAGATCCTCC